GCCGAGCCAATGGGGCGGCGGGGGCGTGGCGCGCGGGGCGGTGGGCTGGCGGGCGGCGCGGCGCGGCGGGCAGTGGAACGGCGGGGCGGGCAGGCAGGCGGGCGCTCGCTGGCCAGGGTGCTGCTGCTGCCGCTGCCGCTGCCGGGGCGCTGCGCAAAGACCCCGCGTCCCGCCCGCCCATGGACGAGATGGAAGAGGAGCTGAAATGCCCCGTGTGCGGCTCCTTCTACCGGGAGCCGCTCATCCTGCCCTGCTCGCACAACCTCTGCCAGGCCTGCGCCCGCAACATCCTGGTGCAGACGCCCGAGGCCGAGTCCCCGCAGAGCCGCCGGGCCTCGGGCGTCTCCGACTACGACTACCTGGACCTGGACAAGATGAGCCTGTACAGCGAGGCGGACAGCGGCTACGGCTCCTACGGCGGCTTCGCCAGCGCGCCCACCACCCCGTGCCAGAAATCCCCCAACGGGGTGCGGGTCTTCCCCCCGGCCGCGCCGCCGCCGCCCCACCTGCCCCCGGCCGGCCTGGCCCCCGTGCCCCGCAACGCCTGCCTCACCTGCCCGCAGTGCCACCGCAGCCTCCTCCTGGACGAGCGGGGGCTGCGCGGCTTCCCCAAGAACCGGGTGCTGGAGGGGGTGATCGACCGCTACCAGCAGAGCAAGGCGGCGGCGCTGCGCTGCCAGCTGTGCGAGAAGGCGCCCAAGGAGGCCACGGTGATGTGCGAGCAGTGCGACGTCTTCTACTGCGAGCCCTGCCGCCTGCGCTGCCACCCGCCCCGGGGCCCGCTGGCCAAACACCGCCTGGTGCCGCCGGCCCAGGGCCGGGTGAGCCGCCGGCTCAGCCCCCGCAAGATCTCCACCTGCACGGACCACGAGCTGGAGAACCACAGCATGTACTGCGTGCAGTGCAAGGTGCCCGTCTGCTACCAGTGCCTGGAGGAGGGCAAGCACTCCAGCCACGAGGTCAAGGCCCTGGGCGCCATGTGGAAGCTGCACAAGGTGAGTGCTGATGCCGGAGTGGGCAAAGGGCCGCTCAGAGAGGGGGTGGGTGGG